GCCAGAGAGAAGGCGCAGAGAGAGATAGGGCCGCAGAGAGCCTACGTGCCAGAGAGAAGGCGCAGAGAGAGATAGGGCCGCAGAGAGCCTACGTGCCAGAGAGAAGGCGCAGAGAGAGATAGGGCCGCAGAGAGCCTACGTGCCAGAGAGAAGGCGCAGAGAGAGATAGGGCCGCAGAGAGCCTACGTGCCAGAGAGAAGGCGCAGAGAGAGATAGGGCCGCAGAGAGCCTACGTGCCAGAGAGAAGGCGCAGAGAGAGATAGGGCCGCAGAGAGCCTACGTGCCAGAGAGAAGGCGCAGAGAGAGATAGGGCCGCAGAGAGCCTACGTGCCAGAGAGAAGGCGCAGAGAGAGATAGGGCCGCAGAGAGCCTACGTGCCAGAGAGAAGGCGCAGAGAGAGATAGGGCCGCAGAGAGCCTACGTGCCAGAGAGAAGGCGCAGAGAGAGATAGGGCCGCAGAGAGCCTACGTGCCAGAGAGAAGGCGCAGAGAGAGATAGGGCCGCAGAGAGCCTACGTGCCAGAGAGAAGGCGCAGAGAGAGATAGGGCAGCATTGCGGAGAAGCGCCAGAGAGAAGGCGCAGAGAGAGATAGGGCCGCAGAGAGCCTACGTGCCAGAGAGAAGGCGCAGAGAGAGATAGGGCCGCAGAGAGCCTACATGCCAGAGAGAAGGCGCAGAGAGAGACAGGGCCGTGGAGAGCCCAAGCGCCAGAGAGAGGGTATAGACCCAGACTGGACAACGTCGATTCCATCGGTGAGGCATAGACTGCGGTGTAGGGGAGAAAGCGGAGCCGCAGATAGTGCCCCCTGGTATTGGGACAGTACAATAGGCAGCCTCCCGCTCGCAAGAACATCATCATAATTTCCATCAAGACATGGCAGACAAGTATAGGGCCGGACATAAGAACCCTAAAGAAGGATCCAAGGGCGCCCCACGCAAGGCGCGGAGTACTAGGAAGATGGCACTGGGAAGGGCGACCTGTTACACCCTACCTTGGGCCTCTTTAACAGGAGACAGGACAAGATGTCCTAAGGGATTTCAGTGAACAGCTTGATGCCTATAAGGCCAGTATGAGTTGTTGCATTGGATCCAACTGTGTCTCCAATTTGAATGAAGCCTCATCATGTTGCCTTCACCCTTTATCCAGAAATAGTTTCATAGTTGCACAGTTGTTAGGGTCAGAAGGGACATCAATAGATCATTGAGTCCGACCCCCTGCCCTGGGCAGGAAAGAGCACTGGGGGCATAGTGGCCTTATAGGCATCAAACTGTTCACCAAAAACCTCACCGAAATCCCTTAGGACATCTTGCAAGGTTTCCATCATGGGGCTGTGCACTTCTGTTAATTTGATACCCAGTGGCTCAAACCATTCTCCTAACAAGCTTGCTCTTCAACCCTTGGCAATTATTGGGCAGAGGACCCTTCGGTCCTGCTCATAGCAGACATTGACATAACATGCACCCTTCAAACCTACTGTTTGTTTGTATAGTCTACAAGCATGGCTGTGCATGGCACAATAGGCTGACAATTCCTAGGCCACAGTGAATTGTACGTCTCTTCTGAAATTAAGGTAAACTCAGATCCTGAATCAACCTCCATAGCTTAAGGAGCACCTTGGAGAGTAACTGTTGTGAAGGTGCTCTTCTTTGCGGTAGGCGTTTCCACATTACTAACAAATGTAGTAATGTAGGCATCAGGGGACAACTCACATGCTGAAATTTCATTTGAATCAGCAACAGTATTAATGGTAACTGGAGACACAGTCCCCTTGGGTGCCTTCTTCCCAAATGTCTTGGACTTCGGACAACACACGCATTCAATGTGACCCTTGCGCTGGCAATAGCAGCAGTCAGCGTCATGGATATGGAATGTATTGTGTCTGATTTCCCCCAAAGCTATAGCAGCTCCTTTGGGAAGAAGAAATTGTATTCCTGTGTGTGTGTAGTGGCTTCCTTGGAGATTTCTCCCTTAAATGCAGTTGGTATGCCGTGGGTGGGTTTTGCTGATGATGCACAGATATCCCTTGAGTGGAGCGAAGCAGCTTCATATGCCAGGGCTTCTTCTAATGCATTGAAAGAAGTCTGCATTGTGTAGGGCTTCCTCTCAAACCCCACACAGAAGACCATCCCTAAGAAGAGACTGAAATTACAGTTCTCAGGCAATTGATGCAAGTCTGGTATGTATGCAGCAATATCTGGCACCTGATTTTGTTGATTTAAATTGGTGAATGGTTTTGGACAGGGTTGGTGCAAACTGGGTTTTTTCATAGTATGACTTGTTTTAGGGTTTCCTTAAGAGTAAAAGGAGCAAATAATCTCAAACATCTTTGAGCCAATGAGGCTCAATAGCACTGCACATTTCTGGTTATCATCAGAAATATTATTAGAATCATAGAAAATTTGGACTGGAAGGGACCTCAGGAGGACATCTAATCCAATGCCCCGCTCAAAGCGGGACCAGCCCCAACTAGATCATCCCAGCCAAAGCTTTGTCCAACTAGGTCCTAAAAACCACAAAGGATGGACTCTGGGTAACTGTTCCAGTATTTTAATACCCTCCTAGTGAGAAAATTCTTCCTAATAATCTAACCTAAACTTCCCTGGCTGCAACTGGAGACCATTGCTTCTCGTTCTGTCATCAGTCACCTCTGTGAATAGTCCAGCTCCATCCTCTTTCAAACCTCCCTTCAGGTAGTTGAAGGCTGCTATTAAATCTACCCTCGGTCTTCTCTACTCCAGACTAAAAAACCTAGTTCCCTCAGCCTCTGGTCGTAAGTCATGTTCCCCAGGCCCTGAACCATTTTTGTTGCTCCTCTCTGGACTTTCTTTAATTTGTCCACATCCTCCTCTGGACAAAACTGAACACAGGACTCCAGATGTGGCCTCACCAGTGCTGAATAGAGGGGAAGAATCATTTCCCTTGACCTGCTGGCAACGCTCCTACCAATGCAGCCCAGGATGCCTTTAGCCTTCTTGGCAACAAGGGCACCCTGCTGGCTCAAATCCAGATTATTGTCCAATGGCACCCCAGGTCCTTTTCTGCAGAGCTTCTGCCCAGCCAGTCAGCCCCCAGTCTATAGTGGTGCATGGGCTTGTTCCGTCGTAAGTGCAGGTCTTTGCATTTGTCCTTGTTGAACCTCATGAGATTCCCTTTGGCCCAATTTTCCAATTTGTCTAGGTGACTCCGAATCCTACCTCTACCCTCCAGCCTATCTACTACTCCCACAAGCTTAGTGTCACCTGCAAACTTACTGAGTGTATGCTCTATGCCATCTTCCAGGTTATTGATGAAGATCTTGAACAAAACTGGCCCCAGGACCACCCCCTGGGGCACTCCACTTGATACTATTCGCCAACTAGACATTGAGCCATTGACTACTACCCTTTGAGCCCAATGCTTCAGCCAATTTTCTATCCACCTTACAGTCCATTCACCCAGCCCGTACTTTTTTCATTTGCCTGCAAGAGAATGTTGTGAGTGAGAGAGACCATATCAAAAGCCTTGCTAAAATCAAGGTTCACCACATCCACTGGTCTCCCTGCGTCCACAGAGCCATTCCTCTCATCACAGAAGGCAATCAGGTTGATCAGGCATGACTTGCCCTTGGTGAATCCATGCTGACTATTCCTAATCACCTTCTTCTCCTCCAAGTGCTACTGTCACAACCCAAGGGTGTGATTTTGTGTGTGCGCGCTTCGGCACTGCTAAATTATTTCCCGCCACGAGGAGCTTTCTTTGCAGGGTGCATTTCTCAGTTGCAAAGAGAAAACCCCGGTGCAAAGGAGTTCCCACCACCCGCATGCAAATTTGTGTCCCACTATTGGCCAGTTCTAAATTATTCCCACATGGCGGCTAACGATTGGCTTGCTAGCCGTATAAGAGGCTTGAGCGGTTTCCGCCCAAGTTGGAGGACTCCACAACCATCTCGTGGAGGAGGAGGACTTCACATCTCGTGAAGAACTCTAAGCGCTGCAGAGCCTAACGGACCCAGCGTGTGCCTTACGAAGGCTATAGGGGTCTGATCAAACTCTGGCCTCTCCCTGTCGCCAAGCGTGATCCCTCGACGAACCCCTTCCCTGCGTGCTTGTTCCACGGAGCCTAGCAAGCTTCATGTGTGTGTGTGTGTATCCAGAGCTCTGTCCGAGTTATTTCAAGAGGCTCGAGTTTTCTGTGGGTCTTGTTCGAGTTCGTGTTGTGGAGCCTAGCAAACTCCACATGTCTGTCTGTAACTGCAATGCAAGCAAGTTTTCCTGCCTGCACCGCGACCATCTACGGTGTAAGTAAAATAATCTTTAATCAACCGCTACGCGTCCGTGCCTAATTCTAGCCCGCCGGCCTGCATTCCCCGACCCGGCATGTCCA